GATGTTCTTAAGATGGTCTCGAACCAGATCCTCTCCTACAGTGGGCCCAAGGTCTTCATTCTCACAGTCCCCGCGTCTGCTTTCCAAGACTTGGGTGGTGTGGTCAGAGCCTTTGCCAGTGAAGACTGAGGCAAAGAAGTCATTGAAAACCTCAGCCCTCTCCAAATCAAGGGTAGCCAGTTCTCCTGATAGCTTCTGGAGAGGGCCCATATTGTCTCTAGTCTGTCTTTTATTTGCAATTTACATATAGAATCCGTTCCTCTTATCTTTAACATCCCTAGCCAAGTTTAATTCTAACTGGACCTTAGCTTTCCTAACCTGGTCCCAGGCTTCTCGGTCAACATCCTTGTATTCTTCTCAGGCCGCCTGTGCTTCCTTCCACCTTTTATAAGCCTCTTTTTTTCATTTGAAGTTTTCTCAGCAGCTCCTTATCCATCCGAGGAGGTCTCCTGGCCCTCCTGCTGCACTTCCTTCTAGTTGGGATGCAACACTCCTGAGCTTCTAGCCGGTGATCCTTGAATATCAACCAAGAGTCTTGGCTCTCCTGCCCTCTAGGGCTATATCCCATGGGCCCTTACTAAACAGGTTCCTGAAGAGGCCAAAGTCTGCTCTCTTCAAGTCCAGGGCAGTGAGCTTGCTGCACGCTCTTCTCACTGTCCTGAGGATCTCTAATTTGACCATCTCATGATCGCTGCATCCAAGGCTGCCCTGGAGTGTCACATTTCCCACGAGCCCTTCCATGTTGGTGAGCATGAAGTCAAGCATGGCACCTCTCCTTGTCAGTTCCTTTATTACTTGCAGAAGGAAGTTGTCTTCCATACAATCAAGAAACCTCCTGGATTGCTTGTGCTAGGCTGTAGTATCCCTCCAACAGATATCAGAGTGGTTGAAGTCTCCCCTGAAGGGTGACTTTCAGTTGTCTTGTGTTAAAATTTACTGTGAATTCCTTCCTCCATTTCCTGATGCTTTTCTACCTGAAGGCATGGTTTGGTGATAACTGTACTGTGCATATACTGCCAACTTGGGATATTTCAGACAGTTGGAGATGAGTTGCAGCATGCCCACTCTTCTGAGCTGCTGAGTCAGCTTTTGTATCTCTGCCATGCACAGCCGTGCACTACTGCTGTGTACATGCTGATAGTGCTGACAGCTCCTTTTTCTTACAGACCTTTTTTAGCATTAATAAAGACTGAGCTTTAGCAAGAACAGTCTAGTAACAATGTGACAAGCGTATAGTGAATAGTAAATTAATCGGCTCAAGTTGGAATGTAGCTATGACTTGAGGCTTTTACTTGATGTCTCTTCTTGCATAACAATTACTAGCAAAAGAATTATTTAGAATCTAGAATATCTTTGCCTCAGCCTTTCCTAACAAAAACAAATCAAAACCGTGGGGCAAAGTAGACTAAGGTACTGCAGTTGTTCTCACAAATTAATTCTGTACCTTAAGAAGGGATTTTTCACAGGTACTAAAAATGTCAAAACACTAGATTTTGCTCATAAAGAAGTACAGTGTGATTAGTTAAAACTTGTCTTTCTCAATCTTTTAAACATTCTCTGTTTCTACAATAATTTTTAAATTGGAATTTTTTACTATTAAGTTAATGTTAAATACTGTTAAATTGTTTTTCACCTTTATACCCTTCTCAAAAGGAAAAATGGATTTTTCGTTAGTAAATACAAGTATTGACAGAAGATGATGTGGTTTGGCAGCCCCTGGGGTTTTTTGCTAGCAAATAATTTGTTCATGTTTCAAATGGTTAATGTGTAGATCATAAGATATATGACATGGTTAAGTTTAATCTTTCATGTAAGGATCTAGCTCTATCCACAAACTTGTTAGATTTCAGTTACTTTCAAGGTAATTGTTTTATTTTGTGCTGGTTAGAAGTATGCTTGTAACTCCTAAACTAGGTGTCCTTGATGGATATTAAATGTGCACTTATTCTTTATAGAATCATAGAATGATTTGGGCTAGAAGGGACCTTGAAACTCATCTAGTTCCAACCCCCTGCCATGGGCAGAGACAGCTTCCATTAGACCAGGTTGCTCCAAGCCCGATCCAGCCTGACCTTGAACACTGCCAGGGATGGTGCAGCCACAGCTTCTCTGGACAGCCTGTTCAGTGTCTCACCACTCTCATAATGAAGAATTTCTTTCTTTCATTTAATCAAAATCTACCCTCTTTCAGTTTTAAACTGTTCCCTTTTGTTCTATCCTACATGCCCTTGAAAAAAGTCTCTCTCCAGATTTCTTGTAGGCCCTTTTTAGGTACTGGAAGACTGTTAAAAGGTCTCCCTGGAGCCTTACGTCCACCAAGCTGAACAAACCCAACTCTCTCAGCCTGTCTCTGTAGGAGAGGTGCTTCAGCCCTCTCATCATCTTTGTGGCCTCCTCTGGACTTACTCGAGCAGGTCCATGTCCCTTTTGTGTTGGGGTCGCCAGAGCTGTATGCAGCACTGCAGGTGGGGTCCCACAAGAGCGGACTAGAGAGAGAGAATCGCTTCCCTCGACCTGCTGGTTATGCTTCTTTTGATGCAGCATGGTTGGCAGTATTGTTCCTCAGCTTAAATAAGAGATGCTGAGCCTGTTGGCAGGAAATGACTGCAATTAACCAAAAAAATCTCCTTCAACGCAAAATTCCTTTTTCCTGCTATGTGAGGATAGAGCAGTGGGCAGTGAGCCTTGTGGCTTGAGTCACTGCTGATATGCTCCACATGGGCATCCTTCTCAGGCCATCGCTGTTGTATTATAAGCTATGGACTGAAGTCATGTATCTTGTCTGTTGCATGAAATTGGATTTTATGCATCATAAAAACAAATGTGCTCCAGATTACATGGTATGTCTGTCATGTGACTGCAGATGCATCAGTCTCATAAGTGCTACCTGCACTTAGATCATAAAGGATGTGGGACTAGAACATGGCATTCCATCTTTGGGTCTTTAAAAATCTTTTCATGACCTGCATTTCTCTGTTTTTGTTGGAGTATATGTATATAATTATAGATATATCTGTTGGAGTATATATATAATTTTCTAGATTATATATTCTTTTTTTACTTTATTGATAGATTAAAAGAAGAAGAGACAGTAAATAAATGTAGGTGCTATTTCAGAATTTATTAGAAGTTTGCATCTTAATAATTCTTTTCTTCTTTGCTAATTTACTTTCTTCTTTTTATCCAGTATATTTAAAAAGTCATAGAATAGTTAGGGTTGGAAAGGACCTTAGATCATCTAGTTCCAACCCCCCTGCTATGGGCAGGGACACCTCACACTAAACCATGCCACCCAAAGCTCTGTCCACCCTGGCCTTGAACACCACCAGGGATGGAGCATTCACAGCTTCCCTGAGCAACCCATTCCAGTGCCTCACCACCCTTACAGGAAAGGATTTCCTCCTTATAGAATCATAGAATAGTTAGGGTTGGAAAGGACCTTAAGGTCATCAAGTTCCAACCCCCCTGCCATAGGCAGGGACACCTCGCTCTAAACCATATTACCAAAGGCCTCGTCCAACCTAGCCTTGAACACTGCCAGGGATGAAGCAGTCACAACCTCCCTGGACAACCTATTCCGGTGCCTCACTACCCTAACAGGAAAGAATTTCCTCCTTATATCCAATCTAAACTTCCCCTGTTTAAGTTTTAACCCATTACCCCTTGTCCTGTCACTGCAGTCCCTAATGAAGAGTCCCTCCCCAGCATCCCTATAGCCCCCCTTCAGATACTGGAAGGCTGCTATGAGGTCTCCACGCAGCCTTCTCTTCTCCAGGCTGAACAGCCCCAACTTTCTCAGCCGATCTTCATATGGGAGGTGCTCCAGTCCCCTGATCATCCTCGTGGCCCTCCTCTGGAATTGTTCCAACAGTTCCATGTCCTTTTTCTGTTGAGGACACCAGAACTATACACAATACTCCCAAGTGAGGTCTCACAAGAGCAGAGTAGAGGGGCAAGATCACCTCCTTAATTGAAGAGACTATTGCAGTTGCTAGGTCTTTGGCTTAGTAAACCAAACTTAACTTTCTCTAGGAAAAAGTACTTGATTCGCCAGAAAACATCAGTAAGTTCTGTACACCTCTGCTTGTTCTTGTGCAAATTGCTAGAATGTGGCTCATCATTGTCTGATATCAATGCTTTTTACAGTGGCATTAATACTTCTGTATGTGTAATAGAAGTATTTTTATTTTTGAACTTTGATTTTTACTTACCCCATGTTTTTTGTCTTGCTATCATTGTGATTTTATCTAGATTTTCCTCTACTCCGTCCAGTTTACAGCAGAGAATCATTGTTTTTATTGAAAACGCACGCTCTTTCATTTCTATATAATATCCTATTTTTGTTGTCCACAACCATTTTCCCTAGTATAATAACCTGATTTTTCTGAATTGACAATGCCTCTCAACCCTGACAGCAAAAAAAAATTCACTGGAATTTTTTGCATTGTGTTTTGTAAACACTGTCTTTGTCCAAGAATGATTTGTATTTACTACATTTGTCCAGGACAGAAGATACACGTTCAGTTAAAACATATACACATAATCCTGTTGGATTCTTTTCTGCTCTTCAGTTATTGAAATACACGTGAGACAGTCTGAGAAATACATTCATAGGACCTGCAACCTGCACATACTGGTGCTTCCAGGTTTTTGTCACCTGGAATGCAAGGAAGGGAGAACACCAGTTGTCTTTCTCACTTTATAAACACTGTAAAGGAAATAAGTAATTCCCTGGTTTTATTTTATAAAGCACAGCTTTAACTGTTCAGAGTATTTCTTCCCAGTTCTGTGTGTTAAAGTTTATCAAGATTTGTTTAAATCTGTTGAGTGCTTTCCCTTAAAATATTTAAGTAAATATGTACTGAGTTTTTTAAGTTCAGCCTTTATTTGAATTGGCAAAAACGTTAACTGAAATTTTTTAATACCTTGATTTTTTTTTAAATATCATCAAAAGTAAATTCTTAAACTTTTTTTTTTACTCCTGTATTTGCTACTGCTCTTAATTTTTTAAGATGGAAAATTTAATTTGGGCATGTCCATATTCTTCTGATGTTTAACTTTTAAGAAATACATGTCTGATGTAACTAGATATGATAGTTGTAAGTTTCTTGCTGTCTTGAAATCACATATTCTAAATCTGAAGGTTATTAAGCAATAACCATAACATATCAGACACTGTACCAAGCAACTAGTTAGCTTTCTGCTAATACATGCAGTATGGTCATCACTAGAAACTAATTAGAAAGCATTTTATTCTAAGGTAAATATTGTTTGGCTTTATAAATATTTTTAATATTTTTTTATACAGTTTGCAGTAATGGAACAGCTGCAGGATCCCGTTATGCAAGAAGATGCAAATATTAAAGCTATTAATGAAGAGTACAAGAAAGCCTTTTTTTTTATTAATAAAGGACTGAATACAGATGAACTGGGTCAGAAGGAAGAGGCAAGAACTTATTATAAGCAAGGGCTTGACCACTTGCTCCAAGGAATCAGCATTCCGTCACAGGGTCCTGCATGCGTGGGGTCCCAGTGGGAGTCTGCTAGGCAAATGCAACAGAAGATGAGGGAGACCCTGCAAAACGTTCACACTCGACTTGGCATTCTAGAACAAAACACCCCACCTGTACAAGCGAGTCCTGCGGTGATGGATGCCCCTGATGGAGTGCCCAGGTTGTACCCATCCATTCCTTCCAAAGAAAAGCCAGAAAGACCCCCCGCCCCTAATTCTCTACTTGTACCAAGTCAGCCACCTGCAGCAGATGGAAGTGTTGCAGCTGTGAGCCCGGCACAAATTCCAGGTATGAGTCCATCTGCAAAACCTCTTTGTCTGCCAAATGAAGCACCTCCTGCCTATACTCCTCAAGCTACTAATGGCCATTTTACTGTGTCCTATGGCACAGACTCTGGGGAGTTTTCTTCTGTAAGTGAGGACTACTACAGCAAGTGTACTCAGCCACCTCCCCTTGAAAACCTGGGAGTGGATGCAGATGAGCTGATCTTGATTCCCCAGGGGGTACAGATATTCTTCGTGACTCCTGATGGGCAGGTTAGTGCTCCTTCATATCCTGGATATCTGCGCATTGTGAAGTTCTTGGATACGGAGAGCGAGACAGCCCAGAATCGTCCACCTGCATTTCTTCAGGTAACAGGAAAATAATTTTGTCCTTTAATAAAATTTCAAGAGCTGCTATGAAATCTTAAAAGGCAATCATCTTTAAGTTCTTGCTCTGTGTGGTAGTGTCAAAGATGTTGGAAAAAAGTTTTATGCAAATTCACATTTTTATGACTTTTTCTGCAAAAATTGTGTCTTTCCAAGGTTGTCAAGTGCTGACTATTCTGATGAATTGTTTTCTAAAGGAGTTTACTTGTCTTTTCATTTCATAAAATTAACTTCCCTTTCCTCATTTAGAGAAGACATGTTGATTTGCCTAGTGTAACATGTCAGTGTAAAAAAAGGGTGTTGCGCTACCCACTTAAGTCTCAACTAGTGAGAAGTTATTGCAGTTAGGACACTGATAATTAGGAATTTGAGGGCCATATTAATCCAGACTCTCAACTGCAAATAAAGAAGGTGCATTATTTGCATTTTTACAGTCCATGCTTGCTTCATGTAGGCATGTTCTGTAACATACATTGTGTTTCTGGTCTGGTTTCTGACTTTAGATCTTCTTGTTGCTGCTAAGACTGGCTGCTGAAAGTCTCATCAGTGAAGGGGAAACTTAGAGGAACAAAAACTTTTTCCTGGTTTGGGATCTGCTGATTCACCTCCACCTGTGTTATCAGTCTTCAACAATCGCTCAGTGAGAGCCATGTTTTCTTTATCCTATCATATAAACTTGTCCTGAATCTGCAGGAAATTACAGGCCCTGTGAATCCTGACTTGTTTGGCAGTGCTTTTCATCCGCTTCTGTACCTGGGCCTTATGACTAGACCTTATTTAAGAGGCTACTAGCCCAAGTTATAGTCCTGTGAATAGTATTTTCTCTACATTAGACTGTCAGAGCCAATCAAGAATATTTCCATGGTGCTGGGTTTTTTTTTCTTGATTTCATACAGCTATTTTATTTTTTGTACTAAACAGAAGGTCAAGTTTATGGTGCTTATCGTTATGTCCTACCTGGCTTTCTTTTCTAAAGCATCCTTTAATTCCTTTATGTACTTCTTGTTTCTAGGTTTGTGACTGGTTATATCCTCTAATGTGTAACCAGTCTCCTGTGCTGTGCTGCAATACTGGAGTCTACATGTTCCCTGACACGATGTCCCAGATACCGGGATCCTACGTGGGACTAGTGCTGTCTTCAGAACTTCCAGCAGCTGACAGAGGGCTGTTTGAGGATCTCTTAAAACAGATGTCTGACCTTCGAATCCAGGTACATTTCTGGGCTGTCTGTTCTAAGCTAATAAAGAGAGGTGTAAATGATCAATAAATTCTCCCATTTACAGTTAGCTGTGTAAAACTGCGAAGTTCTGTTTCTTGCTTGGTAAGCCCATCACAGAGAAATAGATAAAGTAGCCAAGATTAAGCAACCTAGTAATGAAACTATAGGCCTTGTGAGATGGGAGGAAAAAATGTTTTTAATTCTAAATAGTAAGCCCAGAGAGGAAATGGAGACCATTTTTTATATTTTCTTTATTTTTTCCAAAAGGTAACATAGAACCCAAATGGAATTTTGTGTTCAGGAGGAAACATTGTTGTGTAGTTTTCATTATACTGTTCTTGGAATATTGTGCCCAAATCTTTACAGTTCAAAAATGTTAAGGTGCTTTAGAAAAAATCTGTGAAAATAGTGTGTACCTCAAAAACCTACCTTCAAATGGGATCTCAGAACAGATAAATCTAGTGCCTTATTGCAGTAAGGTACTGACTGATAAAAAAAAATAGAAAAGCCCCCCATATTCTTAACAAATATGGAGTAAGAGAAAGTGACTAGAAACAAGTGAAATACCTTACTATAAGAGCACTGGCGCACCATTTCAGGAAGAACGGTAATCAGTGACTACTTAAAAGATCATAAGAAGATTGTATCTTCTCATGAAAGATAGAATCTTGTTGAATCACCAAGATTTGAACGCAGTGATGATACAGGACCAGTTTACAGCATGCCATGTGGGCAGAGTTCTGCTATGGTATAAATCCTGTCGAGTTCAGCAGGAAATTTCACTAGCAAAAGAGGCCCCTAGTTTTGACTTAAAATGGAAAAGTAGTACAGAATAATGTGATGCTTCAGTGCAGGATTTAATGGGTAAAATCTATTGGTTTTCCTGCTTAGAAGTAGTTCAAATTTGGTATCTCATTAGTTCCTTCTCCTAAAATTCCATGTTTTTATTAATGTTCCCTGATACAATGTCACAGGTGCCAGGATCACATGAGAGAGTAGGGTTTTCTTCAGAGCTCCCAGCAACTGAGAGAGTGCATTTTGAAGATAAATTTAAACAGATGTCTGGCCACAAAGTCCAGGTAAATTCTAGGACAGTGATTCCAAATTTAATTAGTAAAACTGTCACTGAACAAAAAACATGGCTTTTTTATACATGTTGGAGCTGTTGAGCTTTCAGACTTGATTGACAGCTGCAGTGCATGCTATGCCGTGTAGGGCTTGGGGTTTTTTGATTGTTTTTTGTTTGGGGGGTTTTGTTTGTTTGGTTGGTTGGTTTTGTTTTTTTTTGTTTTTTTTTTTTTTTTTTAATTTTTGTTAGTTTGTTTTTCTGTTAAGAGCTGGTTCAGTTACTGCAAGCTACCACATTTTGCAAATCAGCAGATTTCTGGAGTCTTAAAACCTGTAATACAGCACAAATATTTCAACGCCTGGTTTGATGGCCATTTAATATGTCTGTTTTACATAGTACTCATGAGGGTCTAATTAACAACTATATTTAATGTAATTACAGTCCTGAGTCACCTGTCTTCCAGAGAATCCATTTCTGCTCCTTAGGATAGATCTTAGAAGTCTTGTTAACCAAGCTGTGGTGTAGCTAAATTATATCTGGAACATAGTTTTGGGTTTTTTTTTTTTTTTTTTTTTTTGTTTTGTTGTTGTTTTTTCTTCTCCTGCCCAACCTCCAAAGCATTTTGGTCACAGGCTAAAGACATTTCTTGAACATGAAATTTCACACTGCTGTCAAGCAGTAACTGATGATATAGTACATGTCAGCAATAGATTGTTAACCTTCTGGGTAGCAACCTTTTAAGTCTTAATCTACTCTTTTCTGCTGTCACACAGAACCCATCCATCCAACTTCAAATTTGGAGCAGTATCATGCACAGCTTAATGTGTTCCTTCGCTGTGCCAGTCTGCAAAAACATCAACAGTACATATGATGAATAATCTCCTTTATTTTTACATTTGGGAGGAAAGGATGAGGAGCAAAACAACCAGAACAGCTGCATTCTTTTAGTGCAGCTGTATTCTGTGACCAAAGACTTAAGTTCCCATATTGAGTAACAGCAGAGTTGACTTCCCTCTGAGAAGATAAAAATGATAAAGGACAAGTCTCATCTTTTGGCAGTGTTGGCAAGTGCATCTTTTTGTTACTGGATGAAGAAAGCATACAGAAAATACTGAACTTTCTGATAAGCTATTTTGAATGCACAGGTTATCTGTGCAAAAGTAATGGAATCACAAATTTCCCTTGAGTTTCTCTTCACTGACCTGAGGAATGCACAACATTAACATGATTTGATAATGGATTTGTATGTTCTAAAACAGAAATCCTGATGATAATGTTGCAAATTAGATTCTCAGGTGTTTACTTTCCCTTTTTAGCCTTCAGATACCTCTGGTGATGCAATTAACTTGTCTCAGACTGTACGGATCGAACCACAACCTGAAGGAGCAGAAAATCGGAAAGAATTGCCAGAATGGAGTGAGAAAATTGCCCATGGAATCTTGTCAGGTACTGTTGTAATAAAGGGATTGTGTTGAATATGAATTGCTGTGAGTAACATTTTAACAGTATTTTCACCTTGATCCATGTGGGCTGGTAAAAGCTGAGTGGTCAGAAGTAGTTGTTCATCAGTTCCGTTTGTGATCATCTAAAGTATACTTTGAGCGTTATGAAACCAGTGCAGAATTTAAATCCACTGCCAACAGTCTTGCTTACTGCAAATGAGGTAGGCTTCTCATTTGACTAAATACTAGGATTTAAATGTTACGCAAACCACTGAGACAGAACAATTTTACTGCTGTACAAGCAGTTATATTTAACCAGGCATGTATCTGCAGATAAACTTTTTTTTTTTCTTTGAGAAACTTTGGAAATACTAATGACTGTTCACTGATTGTAATAAAGATGAATCCGCTAGGAGGACTAGAGAGTTGGGTTGCTTGTTTTCATAAGGTAACAGCAGCAAGATAGGCAGTTCTATCACTTCTGACCCAGTTGTGGCTTGGATACCTATCAAAAACAGAGTAACTGTATGAAGTCGAGGTTTGGATGAGGGGTGGCTGTATTAAACTTCAGTAAAGTGAACTTAAAAAAAGTGGGCCATGTAGGAGCAGAAAACAGCTGCAGGAATTCATGCTGGCCTGTTCAGGGAAGATTATAATTGCAGGCTGTGTTTAAGGAATGTTTCCAGTCAGTGTTGCAGAGGCAGAGGAGGGAAAGCTGTAGGAATTGTAGTCTGTGAAGTTGTATGTTGTAAGAAAATCAATTTTTGCCTTGAAGGTGCATCTTGGGTAAGCTGGGGCCTAATAAAAGGCGCAGAATATACTGGTAAAGCTATACATAAAGGAGCTTCTAAACTGCGAGAACACATCCAACCAGAAGAAAAACCTCTGGAAGTCAACCCAACTGTAGCAAAGGGACTTCATGTAGCAAAACAGGCTACTGGAGGAGCTGTGAAAGTCAGCCAATTCTTAGGTAAAAATTTGCATCTCATAGTATATTATATTTTTGTCTGAATAAATATTCTGTAAAATGAGATCTGGTTTCTCTAGCCAATAAACTAGAGAAGGACTGATCCAATGAAATCCAGAGATCAGTAGTTTTTGCCTTGTTATCTCCTGCAAGTGACATGTTTTAGGACTAATGTTCATTATTTGGCCTTGGGGCATCCTTTTCTTTCCTAAAAGTATATACTGTACAGTCTTAAAGTTTAAAAGAAAATTGTGCTGGATGTTATAAAACTACTTTGAAGAGCGGGAGAGATTGTAAGGAAGACTTTTCCAGAAGTCAGGGCAGAGAAGAAACAGCATGTTCCCTATCTGTGAGCTGGGGATAACAAAACAGTGGAAATGGTTTCTTGAAATTTGAGTGTGAGACTAGTGTGCCCTTTGTAGTGCTGTTCAGCCATACTTGTTTCTTAGGAATTGGAGCTGAATCTGAAATCTGAAATATTCAGAACCTGAAAAATAAGATTGCTTCTGTATCTGTTGGGTACTTAAGCATGGATTGAAGCCTGTCATTGAAATAAGCATATTAAATAGAAGCAACACTCAGGACTTCAGTGTGCTTACTTCTAATTAGATACAAGGACCTTTAAAGGAAGATGTTCTATGTTTGTACTAAATAATCTGCATATTATTATTTTATGGTAGTTGAGGGAGTCTGTTCTATAGCAAGCTGTGTTGGGAAGGAGCTGGCTCCACACGTAAAGAAGCATGGCAGCAAATTAGTTCCAGAGTCCCTCAAGAAAGATAAAGATGGCAAATCCACATTGGATGGTGCTCTGGTCGTAGCAGCAAGTGGAGTTCAAGGTAACAGAAATCCCATATGCTTTTTTAATTGCATAATTTTCAGTGCTGTGGACTCAAATAAGCTGATAATTTTTACAGGGTTTTCAACAGTGTGGCAAGGTTTAGAAAGTGCAGCGAAGTGCATTGCTAAAAGTGTTTCAACTGAGACTGTAAAAACTGTCAAATACAAGTAAGTTATGTTTTTATTGTTTTTATGTTCTACAGTGTATTGTCATTGTGTTTGATTACTGACAAAAGAAAAAAAAGCTTATCAAATTGCAGGGGAGGTGACTGAAGTACCAGCTTTGCTCTAATTATGCAGCACATGATAAGCTGCTAAGTGCACAGTAATGAGCATCTCCTGTAAGTAAAAATATGAGATGAGTAAATGATTGTGTTTTTTTTAAGCTCTCTTCTAGAAGCATTACAACTTCAGGCTATGCTATAAATAATGTTCAGTTATGTGTCTTTGTGCTACAGTATAATGTCATTATAAACAAAGTTACTGATTCAAACCTCTCAGCTCTGATCCTGAATTTATGTAAACTTAGTTAAATTTAAGAGAAATGGAAGAATTTCATCTCTTGGCAGGTCTGGCTAAAGGAAGTAGGTACAAAAAAATTTATGTAAGGAAATCTAAGGCATTAATAGCAATAATGAGATAGTCTCGACTTGCAAAATACAGATGTTCTTAGAAAAAGATAATGAGGAGAAAGGGTAGTAACATTTTAGATTAAGATGATGTTGGTAAGATGACAGACCAGAAAGGAGTGCATGTACTGAAAAATGCAGTAAAGAATACAGGAATATATTGAAACGACCGCAAAATGCACTCCTCAAAAAAAGTGCGGTACGTATAGTAGAAAGAGCCAACGAACATGTAGGTTAAGTGGCATCGGTGGTAAGTGTAGCAAGAGGTGCTGGAAGTGCATAGAGTACTAGCAGAAGGTAACAATGTAAACATGAGCATATAGCATTAAATGGATTGGCATTCAGGGTTGTGTTGTGATGTGTTACAATAGAAGGATAAATAATGAAGTTCTAGTCAGTGGTGCCTTATTGCTAACATTTGTGTTCAGTAGGAATGCTGGGAGGTATTATACTGGTACTTGTTTCACATAAATTCACATTAATGTTTTTGTTTTAGATATAAAGATAGGAAATACGAAGATCAACAGCCAACAGCCACTAAGAGTGAAAAACAATAAGTAATTAAATGTTGCAGTTAATGACAATTGCAGATACTTCAGATGTGATCTTTAAAATATGTACATGTGTGCGTGTATATATATATATATATATATATGTATATATATAAATACTCTTGTCTTTTGGAAGCTGGTTTTTGTTTCGGTGACAAAGATCTCTGCCCCTCAAAGTACTCCAATGAATGAGTTAAATTCCACAAAGCTAACAAAGCATCATCACAATGTCTCTAAATCAACAACAAAATCAGAACTGGGGGAAAATGTAGCTTTGGAAGTAATATTTCTGCCAATGAGCCATGCTACTACCTTGGTGGGTTTTTTAACAACAGTTTGAACAACTGCAGTATCTATATCTACCCAACTTTTTTCTTAAAACAAAAAAAAACCCAAAAGTTACAAATTATGTAGTTGAGACAGGCAAACTGAAAAATCAGTTAACATTAACAAATTGTTAGTCTGAGTGTATCGGATAAGCTGCAGCCCTACTTTGAGTGATTTCACTGATGTTACCTAAAACTGACTTGTGATGTTCCTTAGTCAAATATAATTAATCAAATTGACAAATTACGGAATTTTTGCTGTGGGATTAAATCTGTGATCTGCAAATCCAATGTTGGTGATTCAAGGCTCTGTCAGAGAATTAAAAGCAGAACAAAAAAAGCACTAATTTTTTTATTCTGTTTCATTGTTGGTTCCAGCCATTATGCCGTGGCTTGTACTGATAATGTGATAAATTGATTCTTTGATATTTTGTGCTTCTTTCTGGCCTTATTTTGAAATTCTCAAAATATCTCCGGTCATAAGAAGTTTAGGGAAAAAAGTAATTCTGCAAATAGTTGGGATTCTAATGCTGCCAGAAATACTGCCCTTTGGCCTGGTTTGTCTGAATACAGTGCTCTCTGGGGAAATGTCTTGCTGCCCAGAACAGCTGGAGTTACTGCTCTCACTATACTTTTGTCCTCTTTTCAGTATACTCTCTCTACTGGTGTAGATGTGTATCTTTCTTCATAGCTGAGTAATTAATATGAGATTGCTGAATTGCCCCTTAAAGCATAAAGAAGGTGGACCCACAGTCCAGTGTAGATACCAGAGGTTTTCTCTCTTAGTAGTTTTCATCATATCCTCAAGGCTGCTTTGAGCTTTCTGGGGTTTTGTGTGACTTCTGCCCTTATCTTCCCCTTTGCTGCTGTATTGATAGAGGTTACTTCAGAAAACTTTGCACAGTGGAATTTATTTGCAGGAACCTTGCTACCTCCAACACACAAGCATAGCTGTGTCAGCACTTCACTGTACCAAGAAGACCTGTTAGACTGTGTGGGTTAACTTACTTGAGCATGGTTGTGCACTACCTCAGTGAGTCTGCTTTTGGGACTTTGAACTAGCATGCCAATGTGTTGTTGTTACACCAGACACAGCATCATGTTATACTATGTACAACAGGTGAAGGTGATACAGGACAAGTACTAACCAAGCACTATGATGGCAGTGGTGGTACCAACTGAGGAAAAAATATGCTTAAGATGATTCCAGTCCCTTTTTTCTGTAAGAAGTGAGAAGGCAGGACAGTATTTGCCCTCCCTCCTCCTCAGTGTTGCCACCCATGGTACAGACTGAGAGCGTTTAGCAGCTGTGGGCCTAGTTGTGAGGACTTACCAGGGGATAGGACTTACAGGGATATTAGGAGTTTTACCTAAGAACCTAGGTGGAAAAGTACTTCGGGGGGTTATTGCATACAACTTCCTGCCTTATGGTTCTATAGATAAGCATTCTGCTTTTCAAAACTAGAGAGAAAGGAAGGAGAAAGACTGGAAGGTTTTATGAGGGAAAAGTGAAGAAGCATATTGGTCATCCATCTGGTAGAGGAGCAGTGCTTACTCAAATGGCTTGGTTATTTCTAATTTTATTCTTTATACATGCAGGCTGTGTGATTATTATTTGTTCTTGGCAATGCTTAAATTTTTGTTTCAAACAAATTCCAGTGAAGATTAAAATAGTAAGTATACCAATCTACAAAACTACTGTCTTTCTTTAGGTATGGAGATGATGCTGGCCATGCTACAGACAATGCTATGAATTCTGCAATCAATGTTGGTGTGACAGCATTTAACATTGACAATATTGGTATCAAAGCTGTTGTAAAGAGAACTGCAAAGGAAACCGGACATGCTGTGTTGGATGAATATAAAGTATTGGATAATAAGAAGAAGGATAAAAAATGAAAGCATTGAAATATTTCTCAAAGCCTTACATTAGAGATGAAACTTCTTATTTAGAAGTCACTACATTGCTAATCTGCAATTTAACACAAATCACGCTGTACTTTTCAGTCAACTGTTACTTAACTTGATACGAAAATTTAATAGTAGGGAGGGTGTTTATGTAACGAAAAACGAAAATTGTCTTAATTCCTTGTTGGATATTGAAAAAGGGTTTTAAACAACTGAATCAGCGCTTTAGACAATGGGACAGATAATGAGTTTGCAGTTAATAAACTTGCCTCTTTAAGCACTTTTTCAAAATATAAAATGAACTAGATTAATATAGAAATACTGTTGTGAATATTTTTGGAGTCCTTTATATTTGTAAGGAAGGTGGTGATACAGAAACAAATAGGATTAATAACTGTGGAACAAATAGGATTTCTAGTTTCATTTTTTTAACTGTTCTGAAGATTTAGTTTTACTAAACCAGCCTTGTCTTATTTAATATGCATTACTAAAATAAGCTTTGTGTTTCATTGTTTTGTAGAGAATTTCCTTTTTTTGGCTATCAAACAGCAAATCTTATCCAAAGTTCATGTTAGAAGAAGTGAAAGATGAGCCTCAGGTAACTAGGTAGTTATTCTCTTTAAAACTTTTTTTTTTTTTCTTTTTTCATCCAACATATAAGGAAACCAAAGATAGGAAGCATCTCTTCTAAAAGAGGGTATTTACAACTGTAGAAAAACGTGTTCTTTAGTTGGCTCCATAAGGAATATACAAAGATTTTTTTGAGATTTTTATGTAAAGGATGAATATGTTTTTGTGTAAATTATTCTTCTGTTAAAACAGAAAATTCTATTATTATTCTATAGAGGACACTAGGAACTTCTGAGCATTCTGTATTTTTCAGCTAATCCAGAAAGATGCAGAGTATATACCATGGCCTCCTAATGGCAGATACAGAATCACAGAACCATAGACTGTTTGGGTTAGAAAGGACCTTAAGATCATTTAGTTCCAACCCCTCTGCCATGGGCAGGGACATTTCCCACTAGACCAGATTGATTAAGGCCTTGTCCAGCCTGGCCTTGAACACTGCCAGGGATGGGGCATTCACAGACAATATGTATTTGCTTCAAGAAGTAGTTCTAACAGCATCTTTATTCCGTTAAATTCATAGTTGCACAAGGTTTGTCTTTAAAGGGTATGAAGACAAGCCCTCTTAATGGAGAGGTGTGTGGACTAGAACAGACATGACGGTGTAGGTTATCCTGTTCCTAGTGCAGTGTGAAATAGCTCCATATGTAGAACCATTGAAATGCTTTCACACTGTTTATTTAACAGTTCACTGTTGAGTTTCAAAGCTGCTACATATTCTAATATTGGCTGGACCTGTATCAAGCAGAACTCTATCACTTTAAAACTTATCTCCATTTCATGGGAATGGAGAAAATAACTATAATTTGCTGTTAGCAAATGATATTTGCATCACATTGGAAAAAATAAATAACTAATGCTGTTAGAATGGTAATAGATGCACATTTTGTGGTGGCTACTGTAGGTGTGTACTTAGGGTGAGAAATGTGAAACAAAGGAACTAACCACTTGAAGTGTAATGATTTATGGAAATAAAGATGATGTCAAAGTTGGTTAATCTGCGCTTGGCTTTTTTATGACGTGAAACTACTGTATGGATCAGTGAGTGGAAAGACTAGGACTTCTGAAGTAATAAAAGAACAGTATTAGGATACGTCTACAACAGAAACAGGCTCATCAGTTAGAACTTAAAATACTTCAAATTGAAAATGCCCATCAAAAGCATAGTGCAAGAATTTCTGTTACTACAGAATGTCACTTGCCAGCAAGTCTAACCAGTTTAAGACTACTAAAGGTTCCATGCTAACAGAAGCATTTTTGTTGTTATGGGCTGCATTTACAACAGGAATGTATGTATTTGCATCTTTCTCTCTCATATTTTGGTTTTGCATGCAACTCATACCTTTAGTTTCATCTGTAAACCATCAGAACCACAAGTTCTGTTAAAGCAACAGTTAAGATTGAAGTGTTCAAGTCTTCAAGAGACCAAATTGTAGCAAACTGAGGAAAAAGGTTTAAATGCCATCCCTATCACGCAAGCATTATTGTCCTGTTCAACCTGCTGTTCTCTTCACATGTACTCAGTCTTTCATATTTGTTTCAAAGTAGATTAAAGTTGGTTGGTGGTTTTTTTTTCCACTAATGCCTACCCTATTTTACAGTTTTTAATGTGATACATCCATTATATTTCCTTTTCCATTGTTCCAAAATTTAATTAATTTCCCCTGCTCAGAGTAGTATAACTCAACTTACTCTGCTTCAGCTGTCACTGCTTGGACCCTGGGCAGCAAATCCATAGGCTTCTCCCCATTTCCTCTACCATAAACAACACCCTTCGCACACTTCCTACCTTACCTCAGCTCTTCTTTTTATACACTATAGGCACTAAGCTCCTTAAGCCTTACATCTTAGGTTGTTTTCTATTGCCAGCTTGGTTTTGTTCCTCCTTTGAACACTGAACATCGTTTGATGGAGTCCTAGAATGGCAGTCCTAGAAGTAGTCTTACTAGCCTGTTTACTGAGTGAACCACTACCTGATTTCCTAATGCATTCCTATTTCCAAATGAATTTATTTGAAGTCTTGTGCTAGAATAGTGCTCTCTGATCTTGTCTTGAGAATATTACTTCTGATGACCTCTAAGTCATTCTAAGCTATTATTCTCTCTGGCACCTTCATCGTTCCATAGGTATAAACCACTGTTTTTACCTTGAGTTTAAACCCCTGCATTTGAATGGATTCCTCTAGATTCCAAGGTTGGCAGGTTGGTTGGTTAGTTTAATTATGATTAAAAATCATCTTGGAATAGCCTATTTCTTAATATTCCCTGACAAACTAAATCTGTAATCCTTTAAAAAGAATTGGTAAAACTACCTTCCAGTAAAACATGCTGACCAGCTCACCACAGAATAACGTAGGTTGTAAGGGAGCTACAGAGGTGTGTAATCCATCATCCTTCTCAAAAAAGGTCCATCTGGAGCACAGTACAGAACTGTTTTGATTATCTCCAAGGATGGGGACTTCAGAGCCTGTCTGGGCAACCTTTGCTAATTTTGACTCTGGTAAAGGTAAATATTTCTCCCTTACACTGGGCCAAAAATTCTTTTATGCACTCAGGTGTGGTGCTGCTTATCCTTCCGTAGTGCACATTGAATACAAGTCTGGCTTCTTCATCTCCTCTATGCCCTCCTCTTATGTAGTTGTCGACAGCACTAAGATCTCCATATGCTTTCTCCAGGCTGAACACAGGACATGGGTAGCAGCCTTAAATCTTAAGCACTGCAGCATGTGGTCCCACAAGTGCTGAAGGGAAGAAGAACCACCTCCTTCAACCTCTTGTCTGTGCTCTTGCTAATGCAGCCTAGGAGGCCATCGGTCTTGTCTACTGCAAGATGTGTTGCTGGCTCGTGGTCACCTTGTTCACCAGGGACACGTGTCTTTCCCTATGAAGTTGCATTCTAATTACTGCCGTCAGCCTGTACTGATTCAAGGCTTTTCCCATCCTAAATGTTGGACCGCATTTGCTTTTTATTGAATTTCATTAGGTTTCTTTCAGCAGCCTGTTTCTCCAGGCTCTGAATGCCTTCCTGCATGATGACTGCTCCCCTCAGTTCATCATCATTGGCAAACTTGCTGAGAATGTGCTTAGTCTTCCAGGTTGTTAACACAGATTTAAGCGTATTGTCTCAGGTATTGATCCCAGAGTCAAGCAGTCATACTGCTGATCACTGCACTTTAAGCCTGCTGGCCCAGACAGTTTTCCAGCCACCTTATTTCCCAGTTACCCAATCTACAACTTGCGGATGTGGCTATAAAGGTACTATGGAAGACTCCTTGGGTACAGTCAAAATCTACAGTATCCACCGGTTGTCCCTTGTCCACAGAGCCAGCCATATGATACTGATATGACAAGAATACTAGCTCTTTGTAAAAGTTAATATATGTCATAATCCAAATGTCTGTCTTCAGCAACTGGTGTACTTTGCTTTTAAGCAACTCTAGCTGTTTACTGCCTTCGCGTAATCTGAAGATATGTATTTAAGTATAAAATTCTGTTTTCAAGCTACATTGTGTCATGACCAAGTTTCCTAACTTTTCTTGGTAAAAATTTTCATCTGAAAAAGAACATTAATGCCTTAAACCAATGAAAGTACATTTAGAGGTATCCATGTGTCTAATTTTAACTACTTATTTGCAATAAAGAAATGGAAGAAAAATCTCATGTGTTGCAATTTTCACTGTTACTGCCATGTTTGTTAAAAATGTTGGTGGTTCAAGGTTTTGCCTACTCACAGAACCTTAGTCCACAAGACATTTTTGCTCTTCTGTCACTGCAGTTCCTGAGCACACAATTACACCCACTGTCCTGCACCAGCCCAACCAGCATGATTTGGGCTCATCCTTATACGTGCACTGCGACCTAGCTCCTGAGAGCTCACCTAGTTAGGACATCTTGCAATCCTGGAGTTCATATGGGGACCTGGAAGTATCCTGGAGGGAGGTCAAAGAAGTCTCCTGAGGCAGAGAGAATACACTGTGGCCAGGGTACAGCCCTGTGCTTTCTCCTCTTCTGACTCCTTGGTGATTCCAGGGCTCACTCTGAGTTCTCTCCGTGTGCCCTCTAGCTGAGAATTAGCATGATAGTTTAAGTTGATCTTGAAGCAGTTCTTCACAAAAACTGGTAACAAGGAATATGGCTACTGATTAGTACCTTTGCTGCTAAGATTCAGTACACCCAGGTCGTTATGAATGCTAACCTAGGTCCAAGTCATTACTTAAATTATTGGTTTGGTATGGAAATTGTTTCCAATAGGTATCTCAAAAGGCAGCATTCAGTAAATCATGAAGGCAAAATGAGCAGCTAAATTTAAATGCAGTTATAGTGGAGCACTTTTCTAAAATTGTTTCTTGATTTCAGACAATTTTGAACTCAACCCACACCTCAAGTCATAATTCACTGATTAGATGATACCATCAGTTATAACTTGAGACTGTCAAAAATCACCTCCTGCTCTAATATATATCAGACAAGGGAAATTAAAATGACTTCTTCTCACTCTCCATCCTTATGTTCTACCCCCCTACAACGCAAGGCACTAGATCGTCCTGGATTAGTGACCCTGCTGCTGTTGTGGCATCAGCACAACCCGGGCAGACTGAAGGACAGAGCGCACATCTTGGCTGGGGAGGTGTGGGCCATGCCGGCTGCCTGGCCCCCAGCACCCCTCTCCGCTTTCCCTGGGCTAGGGGAGAACCACAGCGGCCGCGGAGGCTGGGTTGGCCCATCCCGGCTCTGGGCACACAGCGGCGCTGGCGGCAGGGCGGCTCCCGCCGCTCCCTCGGGTCTCTGCCGGGCGCTCAGCGGCCGTCACCCCGCGCAACGGCGGCGGCATGGCGGAAAGCAGGGGCCGCCGTGCGGCAGTGCCGGACCGCTTGGCGCTGGAGCTGGGCAGAGAGAGGCGGAAGAAGTGAGTGTCCGGCGGGGACGGGGCTGAGGCCCGGTCCGCACCGTCCCACTGTTCCGGGAGGCGCCCGGGGACTCCCGCCGCCTCCCTGCGGGCGCCTCCCTGCAGCAAAATGGCGGGGGCTGCCTGGGGCGGGGGCTGCGGCTGACGGCGGCGCGGGGAGAGCGGCAGTGTGTCGGGCGTTGGGTGTCCGACCGCAGCTCTGCTGGGAGCACGGGTGGGGCGGTGGGGAGGTGTGCGGTAACAGGGCACGGTGGGCAAGTGGAATTGCCGGTCAGAGGGCTGGCACTAGCACAAGGAGCCTGGAGAAGTAGGGTGAATAATTTTAGCCAAGAATGCATCTGGTACAGTCAAGGAAAATGGGACTGAGTGTCGTGGTTTAGCTGCGGTAGGCAGCTGAACACCACGGAGCTACTTGCTCAGTTCCCT